AAACTATTCCCATAACCCGACATGGACTGGTAACCGGACGAGAGGCCGTGGTTCGCTATTAAAGCTATCTTATCGACTTTCCTCTCCCCCGAGATAAATAAGTAGATTTAATGAAACATTTTTTTTTTGGTTTACAAAAAGTGTACTGCGCCAATACCAGATGACCGATATTAACAAGAACTTATAGGATAGGATTCCCTTATTCATCCCGAGGGAGAGGAAGCCGATAAGACAGCTTAATTATATGGTGAACCATGGTCTCCCGTCCGGTTACCAGTCAATAAGGGTTAGTTAGTTATTTTTTGGAAGCATAGGATCGATGGTGGAGGAAATGTAACCGACCAGCGGTTAAGTGAACCCCCTTACGGCGACGAGAAATCTCCTCGCACATAACTGTCCCCGCATGGGATTCGAACTCACGAAGAATAATCAGAGGTGCGATGGCAAGCGTATTCCTGACGCTTAGCACAATGCGCAACACCGTCGAGCCATACATAGGCCATTGATTCCCAAGAGGTATCTGTTTTAGTATTTAGGCTACTACCGGTACTTGAGGAAACAAATATAACATTATATATCATACCTGTTTTAACTGCGTCACGATTGTTAAGATAGGAATCTGGGTCATCATACCTGCTGGCGACTGCCGACTAACACCGAAAAGGTCAGAGCTAAAAATTTGCGCGCCAAATGTACCGGTCTCAATAACTAAATAGCCCTTGCCAGTTTACCCACATACAATATTTTTTACGACGAATTTATACGCCTTTTGCCTCAAAAAAAGCTCTGGACAAATATCAACTGCTGTATAAGGTGCTCATATAGTATAAAAAAAGCGGAATATTTTTGGTTCGGCATTGCCTATCCAATTTATTACACGCCGAGTGAGGGGTGAGCATGGGATATAAACCCGATATTTAACCCGCTATAACGCCATGCTAAAGTCTAATGCCCCAACCACAAGGCCTTCGCGCCCATTCACCGATATACTAAAAGTGGCCACTGCTCGTTACAATTATAGCCAAAATATTACTTTTAAAGGCGATAAACTCCGTCTTTAATTTAATTCTGAATTTTGTGACAACCTTCATTAGAAGCATAAGGACAATGGTAATTCAAACGTCACAATGAGAGAGTAAGAGGTATTTGTCGGTGTCCTTTATGTATTGCGGCGATTCCGCATATGACGGATATTCAATAACTAAAATCTGTTATAAGCAACGTCCGATCTAGGTGGTAATTCGACTATTCCTTTTTCACTGTAATCCCGTTAATGCATCGCGTGATCTTGTAGGCTGACATTAATATATATACAATGCAGTGGAATCTCTACCTACGAAATTAATTCGTTCCTGTAGCGACTTCGTAGGTAAAAAATTCCATTGGTAGAGACGCATTTTATCTGTAAATGCCCTAATTCGTTCTAAACCATACAAAACTCGGGCGTAATAGTTGTAAAAAGTTATAATAATCGTTAAAACCCGTAACAAAAACACGTTAGGATTAGATTACCGCATGATAAACGGGAAAGGTACACACATACAGAAGAAAGAGCAGAGAAATAACGAATAAAAAAACTACTTACGGTATGTTTGTGTACCTTTGTTTACCATCGTCATAATCAAATGAGTGAACTCGATTCCCAAATTTACATCCGCCAATGATGGACAATTCAGACTGCAAAACGTGTTTTACATAATTTATAGTTATAATTCTATTTTTGTTTATAAATTAATACAGCCAACTTAAACTGAATGATATTGTCATTAACGACGCCGGGATAACGATAAAATCCGCGATAGATACCAAATAATATCTAAGAGCTATTTTATATGCTCTAAATTGCGAGAAATGAAAAAATTTCTAGCTATGTTCGGTCACTATCGAAACTGAGGATAAAACAATTAATTAGGCCACAATTTGCTTTAAGATTATTGACGAAGACGCACAAACTACCTGAAAAAATTGAAATGTACGATAACAATTGTAAAATATTTTCAATCGAAAACACTCTCGACGTGTTATAAGCACTTCAAGTCAGCGCTTATTGAAATCATTTCATGTCGGCTGCTATTTATCGCCAAACCGCACAAGACTGCCTTCCATTGCGATATAAAGTAAAATAATTGTAAAATGTTTTCTAATCAAAACGTTGACGACGACGCTAGGATATGGGCGCCATATTCGGGATTAATATAAACACGAAAAAAACGATATTAAATCGAATATTCAATATGATTTGGACATCTATGCATTAAATTAACCTGACCAAATAAATATCACGTTTTTTGAGGATTTCGGCCTTTCGCATGTAGAAAATCTTACGTTAGTCGAAGCAATATTTTCATGAGAATAATTTTCGTGAGTTGGATTTTTTGTAGAGTATTTTCAAGAGTATTCGTTGATGGAGTTTCTACTGTAATCAGTGGCTTATCTAGGGCGTGGCAGCCATGGCTCGTGCCGCGGGCGCCGTTTGGATAGAGGCGCAAAACGGGCAAAAAGTTGCAATCGTTAAATTTGTCAATAAAATATTTTCAAATTGGTGATATATACCTGAAAATCGTATTTTTACTCAAATAATAACGTAACTCATTTCATTAGAGTCATTATAAATCAAGGGGAGCGCATTTTTAAATTTTGCCATAGGTGCAATTTTATGTAAATACGCAACTGACTGTAACTAAGATCCAAACTAAAAAGAAATGGTCGAATAGTGACGTATTTTTTGATATACGCAGAGTATCAGTTACCTCACGGAGATCAGTGACGACCGCAAACTTCAAGTGCTGCCTGTATCCCAGCTCAGAACAATGAATTTTGTATACGATTTCAATAGTTAACATTCTTTCTCAACCACATGCCATTTTCCAACGCGCCCCCTTACATTTTAACCTGATCGGAACCTCATCAAAATATTTAACATTACCTCTACTGTACAAGTGGTACAGGAGGGTTCACGTAATTGCTGGTCGGTTACGGCTTCCTCCACTATCAAGCCCATGCATCTAAAAACAAGTAGCTGGTTAACTAATCCCATACCCAGGCTTGGAGAGCTGGCGTGGTTCTCCATACGAATAAGCTCTGTTTGGCTTTTTCTCCCCCTCCGAGATATATATATGTATAAATCCTATCTAAGTCCAGTCTGCTTCATTCTCTGAGATTCAACAAACAAATATTATGATGCTCAAGTTCTTTATTTATATATATTCATATTTACAAAGTATTAGTCTTCAAACTTACGCAAGTATATTAGTAATAAAACGAAAAGTAGTAATCCTGATTGTTCTCACTTACAAAGCATACGGGAAAATTAACATGAAATTTGTCAAATGTAACAATAAAGGCTGGAAATATCTACAACTTTCTAAATTGGATTGAAATAAATTTCATTATATGCAAGTTTTAAACCTTTTTGAAATGTTTAATCTAGCTCTGTATCAAGAATTGTGCTTTATGAATAAAAACTGTCATATTTTGTCATCGGTATATCAAATTAATCTCTTAAATATCAGTTATAAAGTTACACACGATACAGAAATCTAACAATGCAGATCTCATTAATAACATGTATGGGGTATCTAGGGTGTGGCAAACAGGGCTTGTGTTGTGGGCGTCGTCTGGAGAGCAGTGCAAAAAAGGCTAAACTTTTTTTTAATCATAAAATAATTTCAAACTGGAAATAATTGAAAATCATATCTACAGTTAAATATTAATACCGTACAAGTATTTCAATTCATCAATAGTCCTAAAAATTGGGCGCTCCAGAAGTGTGTAAACCAAGATGACTGGCGGAGACCGTAACGTAGTATGTGTACCAGGTTAGACAATAACTTTATTCCGGTTTTCCTTATTTTAGTTCTACTACGAGTTCGGGGACAAGCCAAGTGACTCCCGTAGTATTTGTACCTGAAATTATGGCCTAACCCTAATCTGGTTTCGGTGTCCGCCATCTTGGTCCACATACTACATGAGTACCAAAAATTGTTAGGTACCGATCAAGGGGGCCAATTTTGCCATGGGCGCCATTTTAGATACCCCACTGATAACACGGGATCCATAACGTATAAAGAGATTCGTGGTAATAATAATTTTTTTCGATATTCAGTTCATCACAAAAAGTCGCGTCTGCAATTTTCAGATATTTCACCCAGTACCGGATTTATCATTAGGCAAAGTAGGCTGAAGCCAAGGGGATCCTCGTTTTTAAACTTAGACGGGTTCCAGAACATAACCGGTTTAGTATTAAAAAATTGATATTCGTTAAAATCAATTTAATCAGGTTAATAATTCTTGTCCTAAATATTTCACTTTAATGTTAAAACAATGAAAACACGGTCGAATGATTGATTTTTTTTCACTTCACGTGATAAACTTTTAAGCTAGACCACGTATACTTATTTAAATTATTTCAAAGTTTTTATCTTAAAATACAAGAAATATTATATGTATACTTTTCCATATCTTTTCTCTTTTCTCACAGACGTTCATTTTGAAAAACGGAATAATTATTTTGTGGCAAACGCGGAACAATGCAGTCTCATGGATAATTTTCGTCGTGTTGTTTTATCGAATCAAATATTTCAGGGGGCTATAATATGGGAGCTATGATGAAGCCGGAGGGTGGATTTTGAACTTATGCTGTAAGATAATGAAATATATTACGCACTTTAGAGTAAAAAAAAAAAAACTAATGAGTTAAATTTGACCACAAACACAACGTAGCATCTTTTTTCATCATTTTTTAAAGAATTTATAGTGAATAGTGACACGCCGATACAATTGTGCAATGTCATATGGTCTTATAGCATAGCTCTGAGCTCAGCATTATAGCATTATGGAGCTTGACAGACGAAAAATGTCAACCCGAAAAAAGAAACTGCCATTAAAGCGAAGTTGAAAAGGTCGGTAAATTCGTTGATTTAGGATCTCTTCCAATATGTGCTTTAAACTGAAACTTTAGTTTTGTGAAGCTTTATGTACATGGTTGAAAAGAACTGGCATCAAAATTTGGAATCGCTAATATAGCCAGCTCTACCTCCGTAAACAGCTCCAATGGCCAATCCAACTACACCGTCCAGAAACAATCCGATCACACCCCCGAAAATAGCAAGACAAATGACTTTCCCCCAGTTCTGCAATGTAAAAATTTAAAATTTTATTTTATATTAGGGAGCTGATACCAATGGGGGAGATTGCACATTATTCATCACCCTTGATTAACTTAGTTCAGAGTGAATAACCAAAGCGCCATTTTTAAGGCAGTGCAATAAACAATCCGTAGGAAACAAAGATTTGGTATTGTTTCGCTCATCTTGATCCAAAAGGAATCAACCAATAGGTGTTCTGTTTAACAAAAGACAATGGCGTTGAGAATCGTGTTCAAAACTTTTCGTATTATATATATATAATTCTATCTTGCGATATATTTTGGTTCGGATAATCTGAGTGCAACTTTTTATATATAAAAATTTAAAAATATTGCAGAAGTTCTGAATTAAAACCATAGTTTAGATCAGAGCTTCCCAAACTATGGGTCGCGAAACGAATTTTAGGGGCCGCAAAGAGATCACCAATTTTCTGTATCTATTGAATTTTTTTAGACTCTTGATTCGATACACAATTATTAAAACTAATGTAAAACAAAAATCTCACGATTCTGAGTGAATACATCATCATACCGCGTTTCCTCATAAGACAGTGTCTTGATTTTCTTTCGAAAAATAACACTAGGGCTTATTTTAGGGATCTCTTTCATTTTCGTTTTTCAAAATCAAAATTACAAAGTACTGAATTACGAGATTTTCAAATATACAAAATTTTCATTTACCTATAAATAACAAGTTTTATATAAAATAACTGCTAAACATAGATTATAAACCATTTCAAACGAGTAGGAGACATTTCTTGCTATCGACTAAGTATCATTTTAGGGGCGGGTTATATTAAAATCAATTTTGCAATTCAGGCTAGGTCGCATTTTCAGGTCAGGTTTTATTATCGGGGAAACACGTTTGATCATCGTGCTTGCATAACAATACATATTCTGATCGTAAGATCCTATTTCCGCACATTTGCATAACAATGCCGGCTTTAATCGTTAAGCCAGCGGATCCGAAGGCGACTTGCTAGGCACCTCGAAAATTAAAAGATCTGTGTTAAATATTTACTAATATACGATTGTATTTTACATATTTTCATTATTCCAAATATTTATTGTTCCTCATTATTGTAAATAATGTGTATAAGAATCAATAAATTCATTTCACCTTGTTAATTTGTTTAATTTAGTAATAGTTAGGTAGGGTATATTGTTACGTAACAGTAGAGGTAAACCCTACTTGCTGCAATTTCATAGGCTGCAGTTTATTCATTTGCTGAACCGAGTTTAGCGAAATCGGGCAGAGACAAGGAAGAAGAGTCGACTTTTTGCCTTTATTCTTTAGGCCTACGTGTTTATAAACTTTAATAGGCACAAAGTACACATTAACGACAATATTGCGTTTTATTTGGAAGGCGGCAGCGTTTTTTTTGTGTAGTTTTTCCCTGATAATTTGGCACTGAACGAACCGCTGCCTTATGCTAAATTTGATCATTAAGAGTGAGTATCAATGACGGATAAGGATCATGCCTTCTCTGGTCGGACATCGTAATTCATTTTCATTGAGGCCTGCATTACCAAACATTGAGCCACGACTGAACTTGCTATGCAGAAATCATTCGCGCCCACCACGCTGAATAATTGAGTGTCGGTAATCTGAGTAAATGCGTGGGTGTTTTTGTTATTGGATAGGCCTAATAAGAGTTGAGAATTTAACTGTGTCACTAAAGTATCAAAAATCCATATTTCGAACTGTTCAGCATTATTAACGTGGTACAGGGGCCGCGAAAAATTTTAATGCATGGAAAAGGGCCGGAATCGCAAAAGTTTGGGAAGCCCTGGTATAGATTATATAATATCATAGATGTCCTACAACCTGATTATTTTCTAATTTGTGTTCAACAAAAAAAAAAGGTCACCCCACCTACGCGCATTTTCCCCATGTAAGGAAGTAATATCTACAATACTCACAGTCTTTTGCACACCACACCGAGTTAGATTTTCTCGGAGCTTCGCATTTTCTGCGACGACCTCTTCACACATTTCTTTGTACTCTAATAGTTCACTCTGTGAAATGTAAGTAGTCTATAGCGTGAATTGAATAATCTTCTGAGATGGAAGTACAATAATATAAAAAAGGGGGAGAAAGGTAACATTTTAGTGGAACTTTCGAAAACCTGTATTTTACGTGAGTTTCTTGAATATACGAAATTAAAATGCGACTCAGACGACCACCAGTTATTGCACGCTGTCTATCGAGCATATCTGTCCCAAAAATATTGGCCACTCTTATAGAAAGTATTCCGTAAAAACATAAACTAAAATAGTGGTTTCCAAACCTTTCTTGTTTCAGCCTCATTCTTCAACACTTGAACTTGTTCTTTCTCAGTTTTGCACCTTTCCAATGCCTCTCTCAGTTCGGTAGTTAGCTCCTGAAAATATATAGTAGTGCATGCAAATCGTGTTAGTTTTGTTATATTTCAGTCGGCCAGAATATATGTCGGAAACTCATATATTAGAAAAAAGGCATTTAATATTAGAAAATCTAAGACGTGAAGAACGTAAAAAAATGATGATTATATTTTATTACGATTTTGGTGTCTAAATGGTCCTATATTTTATACATACGCATTTTTTATATTATAAAAATACAAAATCCAGTCGAAAAGCCCAAAGCTGTTAATAAAAACGTTTGAGTATCGAAAAACGAGAACAAGACGAGGTACTACTATAAAACTTTCATTTCAACATTAAACGTATATTATTAATCGAGAGCCTAAAATTAGTAAGTGATATATTCTTGTCCTTTAATAGTAAATTCTAATGGACTGAAATCAATACTTGAAGAAAGGCATACATACATTCATTTCTAGATGTCTAAACTGATTCAAAATAACGATGTATACAAAGACAGCTGTTACTAGACAAGTTTCTGGCCCTGTGTATAAGTTGCGAGAGAAACCACATTCATAAATTTTACTGACCGTATGCGCATTTTGCATTTCCTCAATTTTGTTCATCAGTCCTTCAATAGTTTCTTTGTGCCTTGTTTCCTTGGCTTCCATTCTATCCTAAGGAAAATAGAAAGAAAAACTTTTGTTCATTAAAATATACTTACTCGTGTGTTTAACTCTTAGAATAGATTCTGATTACAAAACCCACTATATATCAGATCTATCGGTTCCTTCTCTAGATAATCATAAAATTAAGAAGTGATGTTCTTGTCCTTAAATAATAAATTTTTATGAACTGAAATCAATACCTAAGTAAATGCATACTTTCATTTCCAGCTCTCTAAATAGATTCTAATCTAAACGATAATGCATACAAAGAAAGTTGTCATTAGACGAGTTACAGCCTCTGCGTACAGGTTGCGAGAGAAATCCTATTTATTCTTACAAATTGTAACTTTTACGGACCGTAAATTCTTTTTGCATATTTTCAATTTGTTTTTCATGCTTTTTCATGAGTTCTTCCTTATCTCTTTTGTGCTCTGTTTCTTTGGATTCCATTTCAGCCTAAGTAAAACGAAAATAACTTTTGTTAATTAGAAGATATATACTCACGCATGTGTTTACCTCTTAAAATATATTCAAGAATTGGTGGAACCGTGGAAGTTAAAATCAAATTATAAAAACCACCATGAGACCTATCAGTCTCTTCTCCAGATAATCATAAAATTATGAGGGAATGTTCTTGTCCTTAATAGGTTTAGATGGGCTGAAATCAATACTTGAGATAATGCATACTTTCTAGGTACACTCAAAATGACAATGCATACAAAAGCTGAGGTTAAAATTATGAGACGAGTTTCCACCCCTGTCTACAAGCTGCGAGAGAAACCACATTTATGTTTTTGAATTGTAACTTTTACTGACCGTATGTTCTTTCCGTATTTCTTCGATTTTGTTTTCATGCCTTTTCATGAGTCCTTCCATATCTCTTATGTAGCAAGCCTGAGGAAATAAAACAAATCTTGTTAATTAGAATATACTCACTCATGTGTTTACTTCTTGAAATATATATTCAAGAAAATACTTAAGGAAATGCATACTTTCATTTCTAGGTGGCTAAATATATTCAAAACGATATTGCATACAAAGGATGGGGTCAAGGGTTATGAGGCAAGTTTCCGCCCATGTCTACAAGTTAACACATTTATTTTTACAAATCGTAAATTTTACTGACCATACTTTCGTTTTGCATGCTCTTAATGTTGTTTACATGCGTTCTCATGAGTTCTTCTATGTCTGTTCTGTGGCTTGCTTTGATGGCTCTCATTTCGGCCTATGGAAAATAGAACAACTCTCATTCATTGAAATATGCTCATTCATGTGTTTGAAATATATTCAAGAATTGGTATAAGAAGTATTATGTAAGCACTAATAAATATTCCCCATCAATGAAGGTAATTAGCGAAACAATGCTATTCCCAAATGAGTTCGCGAGTTTCGAATATTTAATTTCCGAATAAAATTTGGAATCAGAATGTTGCAATTCGAACAATCCCGAATTATTATTGAACACGAAATGGACCTATGGAACTTTATCAAATAAAAAATTGCGCTCCTTGTGGCGGTTGCGCCTTCACGATCCCGTGGTCGTGAACACAGCGTACTGATATGGTAGGCTGTAGACCTATGCCCGTACCATTTCGTGTCCATATATTTGAGCGTCGCACTTTTGTTATGTTGCTGTTGCTTTATGAAAAATTTCGCTTTCCTGGACCAGTTGCTTTAGAATTTTCAGTGAGTGAAGATTGATATTGTTGCTAGAAGGCTATTACTTTTGTTTATTCCTAAATTTACTATGAATCCTAGGACATCTGATATTTTCTTAAAAATTTCGCTGAAATATTTTTTATTCATGGGAACACAGTTTTTAATACGCCAAGTGTGACGGCAGTTTCCGATTCGAAGCGACACTACGCGAAACTCGGAGGTTATTTGGTAACCATAGGTACAATACAAAAAGTACTTTGTTTGGGATTTCGTGTCCATATATTTGAAAATCGCCCCCCTGATGTTATTTTAAGTAGAATCTAGGCGTTTTTCACAAAACTGCTCTGATTCGAATTGGAGTTGATTTGAATCGCTTCGATTCAAAATTCTGAAACTTACATCCTTAGTTAGAACCACAAAATTAGATTAGATTATACGTATTCCTATTCCTGCTCACATAATGTGTCACAAAAATACTGTTCAGATGAAACTTACGTCTCTCTTTCGATCAAATGTTTCAACACTATACGCCATATTTTCCAACCTTGGGCAACGTTCCTCGTGACGCCTGCCTCCCCTTGGGAAAAAAGTTCTTCTTGTCTAAAAATGAAAGGTTTTGAATGTATCCTTGCTCTTTTAAAAAAAACGTTCGAAAATTTTTTGTTTTTGAATTCATTAATTCTCCAGCCGCTATGCATTCATTCCTTTCGTTTGTTTTGCGCTCCGGAAGTATGTGTACCAAGATGACGCACAACCTGAACTCAAACCTGGTACACATACTAAGTTCAGGTTGTGCGCCATCTTGGTACACATACTCCGGGAGCACAGTTGGAAAGAGAGCCACGGATACTGGTAGTTTGAGAATTAATTTTCTACTGCAGTAGTTCTTAAACGGTGGGGCGCACCGCACAAGGGGATAGACAATTATTTGAGGGGGCTTGCGGCTTATTAAAAATGAAAATATTTGTTAAATTTGATCTTGCCCGCCTTATTTTGTTTTTTTACATTTGTTTATTTCGGACATTTACGTCCCATTTAATGTATTTTCAACGTTTTTTTTTTTTTGAATGAAACATACTTTTGCATTACTATTTGTTATTTGTAGCTTTGTAGCTTTTTGTTAGATGGTTATCTTTGAGGTGGGGCGCGAGACTTGACAAATTTAAAAAGGAGGCGCGGCTTAAAACATGAGAACTACTGCTCTGTTGTGTATGGGTGAGGTTTAACAGACGAAGTACTATTGAAACGAGCCAGAACTTTGTTTTCTTTCAGGGGCTGATAGAACAAACAAACAAAAACTGTTGTTAAATATACTAATTTTTCTAAGTGAATTGACATTTTAAATTTCCAAGCGCTTAGTTTTTATGCCCATGAACGATAGAGAATGAAGACAAAGGGAATTTACGCTCTACAATTACGCAACCACCACAAAAATTCCTGGGTCACTTGATCCAATGCAATGCTGTAAACGTACTCTACAAACCGCACATACGTCAATCCGATGGAGTGTTCGCACGAAGGTCTCAAAATAAAAACTAGATAGCGGAGACCGATGATAAGTGCACATGCATTTGGAGCAGATTCAACCTCGCTTTCGTGAAATATCGCGTAACATACGAAAGTGTCTAACAGACAAACAGACAGATACCTATCAACGTGGTCGATAAGTAAAAAAGGACAAACCCTAGTGATCTTACCATGTTTGCGATGTATTGATGAAGGTTGCTCAAAACGATTCGAAGTAATCGAATTTATCGTTAAGTAATCAGTTTAATTAACTAGTTGTACCTGTCCAAAAAAGTTTACTTGTCAATAACATGCCAACATTAATAGCATGTATGTTCCTGGTCCTCTTATAGCATATTGGGCTAATTTAACTACGGTAACTTTATGTAGTTGTACGTGTTAACTAAACATCATTCTAATTTGACTCGGACATTAAAATAAAATCAGAATCGAGCTAAAGTAATAAAAACGCAACAACTAGACCAGGGCTACTCAACTATTTTTACCGAAGGTCCGCATACAAAATTCAAAAGTATTTGGGTCCGGTCTTTCCAGAAATTATATTTACGCATCCTTAAACACGCAATTCCTCGGCCGACTAATGATTATTAGCTAATCAAGATTGTTTATTATGGCGGTATAGTTCTTTTCGTATATATTTAAATCTATAAAAGTGATTTTATAACTGGAAACTTCAAAAGTGGGGTTAATTAATGATCCGAACTGAAGAATTAGGCGCGGTCCGAATCGAATACCCGAAAGGTCCAGATTCGGACCGCGGTCCGCCAGTTGAGTAGCCCTGAACTAGACGACCTGTACCTTGATATTACAGCGTCATTACCTCGAGATACTAAAACAAGTTCTTAAATAACCACTTATTAGAAGAGGGGTGAGCTAAAAAGAACAAACGATTAGGTATGGGTCTAATTACTAAGACTCGGCATGCGACACATATTCGGAACTAGGAATATCTAGTGCCAGTTTCATATAAACAACAGTGCAGCCAATAACAAAACTACCATGTTTCCCCAACAATTAGACTGGGTCTTATTTCAATTTCAATTTTCCTCCGAAAAATAACACTAGGGCCTATTTTCGGGGGTTGTATTCTCATTTATCAAAAAAAAAATTCTAAAGTAGAGAATTACGAGATTTTCAAATATACAAAATATGAAAACCGATATCCATTTATTTATGGATAACACGTTTTGATTCAAAAAATTTGCAAAACATAGATTTATTATCGATCATTTAAAATTCGTAGGAAGGTTTCTTGCTATCGACTATGTCAAAAAACATTCCCGTTATTCACTAGGTCTTATATTAAGGGGAGCGCTTATATTAAAATCATATTTAAAATTCAGGCTAGGTCTTATTTTCGGTCTAGGTCTTGTTTTCGGAAAAACACGGTAGCTACCAAACCACAAGAAATATTCTTTAACCCTTCACTCAGTCTAATGTAATAATAATTTGGTAACTACGTCTGATAATACTTCGTTACAAAATACAGAATTAGTACATTTTGTTCCGCTATCCTTTTAAAGATTTGTTTTAAACGCTCACGTGTTTGAATACTGTAAACGAGATAACGAAGCTTTTTTCACGTTTCTAATAAGGAGGAAAAAATGTTTGTCGGTTATTGTCAATGACGCCTGTCGCAACTTAGAGAACTTCAAGCGGCGTACGCAAGATGAATGTATGACGTCATACTGTGATATCATTTTTTGTAATTTTTATACAATTGAAAAATTCATTGTGACGTCGTGTAGGATTGATATATAAAATACATCATGACGTCATAAATAAAATGAGTTGTGGTGTCATATTGAGATTTCTATAAAATACACTATGGCGTCATAAATGACATTTTACATCATACATAAAACACATTATTGCAGTTCTAGGTGAGATACGCACGATCGCGCCAGTATATTTGATGATAACTTGGATTAGGATACAAATTAAAAAACTTGAAGCTGTATTAAATCCTTACGGTACTAGTCAGAGCATCTATGTCCATATAAGGCACGCGAGAATAGATGGTCGATTTTTTTTATTTCAATAACATCCAGCGGGCTGCCTACTCAACTAACTTCTACGCAACAAAACAAATTTTCATAGCTGGTTGTTCGCAAGAGAAAAAAGAGCGAAAAAATAATAAATTTGTTTAGGAGAGTTTGCTCAAGGCAAAGACGTGCGTACTCATTCAACTTACAGAGGCATAAGCAGAATTTTTTTGAACGAAAATTTTAAAAAGGGAGTATGTTCACCAAGATGGCGCACAACCTGAACATAGTATGTGTACCAGGTTAGGGTTATCAGGTTGTGCGCCAAGAGCGCCAAAAATTTTTACGTCGTATATATTATGATGTCATATTTTGTATTTTCACACCCGAAAAATTTTTGTTGACTCTCGATTAGATTTCCTTAATTGAATTATGACGTCATAAAATGACTTTCACATCTATGTAAAATACAGTTTGAGCGAGGTAATAAGGTACTCCCGTAGTATGTGAACCAAGATCTTTATTTTAGTACTATTACGAGTTCGGGGACTAGCCGAGTGACTCCCTTAGTATTTGTACCTGAAATTGGGAACTAACGCCCTGACCCTAACCTGATACACATACTACGTTCCGGTGTCCGCCATTTTGGTTCACATACTTCCGGAGTACCGGTAATAATATACGTACATATCCCGTAAGTATATTTGGTAATACCTGGGATTCAACCTGGCTGTATGCCTATAAACTAACTTCGGATCTTTTGTACAAAGCCCTTGACACTAATGCAAAAATTTGAGATTGCAAAGATTTGAGGAAAACACAACCGCCACGTTTTGAAATAACAAATTAGTAATTATCCGGTTCGGGTTAGGAATGATTTGAAAACTTGAATTTCTAGCGCAATCTGGATAAATACTAATTTTTTCATTTTGCACCAAGATGGCGCACAACCTAATAACCCTAACCTGGTGCACATCTATATTCAGGTTGTGCGCCATCTTGGTGCACATACTACGGCAGCACCAAAAATTCGAACGAATAATATTTTTTCATAAGAGAATTTGCTGGTCGTATGCACTTATTCAGAAATAGAAGAGACTCATCCCTGTGCAAAGTTACGAGCGATCACTGAGATTTCGACTGCTGTATATGTACATTTATGAGCGCTCCAGAAGTATGTGTACCAATACGGAGGTAACTAATTTTGTTCGCCTATTTCCCTTCAAGTTGTTTAAAAGGGAATGAAACCTATGAGCAGGAGTTATATTCATTTGGCTAACACAGACAGTCCCCGAACTCGTAATAGAACTAAAATAAGGAAAATCCTAATAAAATTATGGCCTAACCCTAGCCTGGTACACACAAATTACGAGATTACCCATTTATGTATCATGAATAGGCAGCGCGCTTCTAAAATTTTCAAAAGATTGTTTTTCAAGCTGCTCAAATTTCTAGAACAACAACTTCCAGCGGTTAGCTACGCAACTGATGCATAGACAAAAAAACAAATGTTCAAAGCAGCGAGTTCTGAAGAAAAAAAAATGCGAACCAATAACCGTGAAGGCCCAATGGTAACCCATTGACGTCAGAGCGTTAAAAATAAGGAAGTTGCCCGAGTTCAAGTTGCCCAAGTTCTAGTAACAAAAATTTTATTACAGGATATACGAAACTGTTGACCTTCCTGTTTCAGCCATATTGTTTCATTAAGAAACTCCAAGTTCTACTAAGTCGTCATTGTACTAGTAAACTTGACGTCAAAATACCCAATTACAGTCACCAGGGGACTATCGCCCCTCTATCGATACGTTAGTGTATATCTATATAAGGCTTGGATAAATTAGGCGATTTCATTACATTCTTTGTTAGGTTTGTGAGGAGTTTTATTCCGATAAGATTCCTTGGGTAGCTAATTACTCTTTGATTTGAGCGCAAAACAGGTTCTGAGTTTCAAGCTCAGAAAAGAAAATATTCGGACATATAATAAATTTTTCAAAAGAATTCGCTCATAGCCAGGTCATGCGCGCTTATTGAGAGGTAGAGGGGACTCATCTCTAAGATAAGTTACAGACGAACAACTAAAATGCCAAATGCTATATATGCATTTATATAACATAGATGGATCACGCGCTACTAAAATTCTTTTGTACCAACCCCTATCGGTAACTAAAAAACAAAAAACCGCCAACGCATTAACCCATTGACGTCAGAGCGATTGAAAAATGAGGAAGTTTAAGTTTCTTACAAATTCTACTGACAACATGACAATAATAAAATATTATAAACCTGATCTAAGAAACTGTTGACCTTTTTCATTCACACATACTGTTTCATTCAATGCTCACGAACACACATAAACAAGAAAATAAAAAGTCGTTACGCCTGTAGCGTGCGAACCAAGATGGCGGAACTACGTTCCGGTGTCCGCCATTTTGGATCACATACTTCGGGAGTACCAAAAAGTCATGGATGGAAATAATTATTTTCACAAAATATTAATCGATATAACATCAGAATGGCTTTCCTGGTAAACTACCACGAATAAAAGTCGACTAAATTTAAATATTATTCCTGTAACAGTTCAAGACTTAACACATGTAGTTAATTTCAAGAATCGGTGAGCAACGTTCTTGTTGTTTATTAAATGAATTTTACTGAAAACGTTTTATAAACTGTTTGCTACACTTCTGGTCCTGGGTTCATCTGCAACAATATATAAAAGGTAAGTCACGCGATCGTAAATGCCTGAGTGAATGTTTAGGTGCACAAAAACAATTGTGAATGCGTAACTGCAGACGCCAAAAAATGAGAAAGAAGAGTCAAATTCAAGGGTTCCTAAAATTAGAAAATGCATTTTCTCGAATTTTTCGGACGAATTGACTCGAATCAAACTTGGAAAACTCATAGAGGACTTTACTTCTAAAATTTATTATGTGTGAAGTTTTTGAAATGGTACAAAGGTAACTAAATACGATACCAAAGTGTTGGGCGATCGTTCTAAATATTTCTGGGGTCGCCGAGTGTCTGGCGTTGTCTTTTATTTTTATTCTTATTTTATTCCCCTGTGTACATTTTCGTCATTTATTACTTCGCTACATAATAAATGTTTGTACATTTTGTTTCGATGTCTCTTAACAGATTCCTTTTAAATGTTTACATGTTCAAATACTGTAAACAAGATACTGAAGCCGTGATTTTCCACGTTTGAAAAAAACAAACAAAAAAAGTGAATGTTGGTAATTGTTAATGGCGCCTTTCGCGACTTGGAGAACTTCAATAAT